GTAGTATAGCATTGCGCAATAATTTACCGTATTAACAAAGGGATCTTCGCAGGCGCCGGAAGGGCACGCATTCCAAGGTCGGCATTCTGGCGTGAATAACTATAATTATGATGTATTACAATAAATATCACAACCCCACACAACCCCAATCGGGATCATATTTCAGCATTTCAGTTAACGGCTGATTAGACGCACCACCCGCTCAATTGGTTGGACATTGTTAAGCATTTAACTGACTTTCCATATTGCTCACACGGCTGAAAAGCGTGTGGAACCTGTCTCACAAATTCACAAGCACTTCGTTCTTAGAGAATTTGACCTTTTTCTACTATGCTTATTTGCGGATGATCAGAAGTTACTTTCCTAATCCTACATGTCCTGCTAGGTATGTTTATCGGTCCTTAGTCGCTAACTCAGTTACTTTTAACTCGCGCGACACAGGAGTTCAGCTTGCTAAATTGACAAGTTTACTAAGTCGCTGTTGACTTTTTCATTAAAAAGCTGTACGCATTTTTTACGGCCATTACGCGATTATGTCGACAAAGAAAAGTTTACTACACCTGACTAAGGCCAAGTAAGGCGTTAAAAACTACTTGACATTAATATCCTGGATTCTAAGGGACTGTTCGTCAAAAGTTTGAAACGGCGTTAAAGTCCAGGAAGTATTTCGCTAGAGGACCCTTGAGAGAAATATGCTGCTGAGTATTACAGATATTATAAGTGAAAAATACAAAACTTGAGGGCTAACATTCTCTATTAATTTTCGTCAAATTGTGCGAGGCAGAATATTAGCATGTATATGATCAGTTTATAATTTGTCTATATGTTCATGGCTAGATGAAAAGCAACCTTCGACTGCATCTTATGCGCCGACTTTGGCGCGAGACTGTTACTCTTTGGACGGAGTAAATAATTTTCGATTGGTAAGGTTTTAGATGTTGAAACGCCTATAATCTAAGTATCTGACACTGGGTTCACAACAGTAGAGCTTCGAGTTCAAACCTACTCTTACATTTAACGCCCACCCAGTCAGAACAACTATCTGGAATACTCAACTTTTGTTCTGTGCGTCAATTGCAGAAAATTGTAACATGTCTGATGAACTACCAATAAAGGAGCTGCTCCAGCTTTAAAACGTACCTATATCCAATGGCACAGCGTCCTCAGAGATGGGCTCTTCGCTGCCCATGGGTAAGGATAATCCAACCGTCAAAAACAGGAAGAAGAAAAGCGCCTTCGTAATGGCCATCATAGCGCGCCCGCACAGAGAGAGTTCGTCTTCAAAATGCGGTTGTCAAGCCGGTAGTCCTGCCGTTGCGCGCACTTGGACGCTTGACCAATCACAAATGGTCCCGACACAGGGGTGTCAACCAATCATTGTCCGACCATGCGTCGTGGCCTGTTTGAACTGACAGTCAATATGATACGTTTCCATAGTCCCATGCAAGCGCGAATTCCCTCCTTGAGCGCAGTACCTTAAAATGGAGTTCGCGCTATGGGCTCACCAGTTCCCCGGCTGCGCTAACACAATTTAAGGTGGGATCTTCGAAACATGTCTGCTGCAGGCTTTAGAGGGCGAGAGCGACAGGCTTAACAATAATACAAATTAGGTAGAAGTGTCGTATAAGAATTTGTAAAACTGGAACCAGAAAAAGATAAAAGGATAGCAAAACGAGTCAACGTTTGTTTCACTTAGACGACAACGCCCTCGACTGAACGAGACGTAGGGGTTTTGTATTATGTTGGAAATGTCACTGAGATACTGTAACATTCATACGTCGGAAATGTCGGAGTCCCTACAAGGACCAAGGAAAGCTAAACACTTAGCTGTCTCCCTCGACGACTACTTACAAATATAGAGAGGCCGGATTATTGTCACTGGAGTTTTGCAAATATCTTAGTGCCACGGGCATGACATGAAAATTCGTGATTAAGTTATGGCTGTGTGAAATTTTTGGAGTACGAGTAGATTACTGCCCCGTCGCATGAGTAGTATACAGTTAGCCGCAGATTAGACAACATCTTTCTGCGTAATCAGCGAAATCGATCATCTCGCATGTGGACTTCGAGCATGAACAAACTCCGTTATGTTCGTTAGTGTCGACTTCCAGTCGCTGATTACATGACTCCCTAAACAAAGCCGTGTTTCAAACCCGACCCGAGTGAATAAAAACTCACGGTCCGGGATCCTGGAGTCTCGGACACGTGGGAGACAGTGACCGGCAACTATCGGTTGAGGCAAAGTGAGCCAGACAGTGGAGTCTTTTGAAGCACCCGTTGGTAACTAAGGGACTTTTTGCGTCGCTTCGGTAGCTCGACCGTCATGACCGACGTTGTCCACCGTGTGCTCCGCTGCGCGTGGATTTGTTTATAGTGATACTAGACTTGTACATCTAACGCACACTCTCCCCCTTTCACACCGGGGTCCAACATCAAAGCAGAGTCAACGGTCCCGGAGGCGGAAGAATGCGCAGGCGGCCGGCACTACGAAATCCCCCACCTAGGCGTACCACCACACCGCCTGGTCCATAACGTACACTGGCCAGTATTTTATGCAGCAAATAGAGGGGAAGGACGATATGGATCCCAATTAGCACGACATGTGCCAACAAGTAGACCTGTCGCCACAACCCATATTTTGCATCTGTTTTGTATGCGAATGCCCGATAACGCCTGTCGAACTCCGATCCAGCTCTGGCGCATCAACCGCGTGGCAGTTGTGTCACCTTGTGATCTCCTGTTAACTCATGACCGTGGGATCTCTGAGGAACACCTTGCTGTGATTAAGGAAAATTGTATTTACCACATCCTTATTACGGCATATAAATATTTAGAAGTGGATAAACAAAAGGAGCACGGCCTGATTCATGGAATAAACAGCTGCCGGCATTCTTTGTTACAGGCACGATACTTTGTTAAAGGCATTGTTCGGTTTTAAGAGGCCGATTGTTCGCTAGCAATAGAACATGTTCCATTTGCAATCCACGAGTAGTCACATGGATGCCTTCAACTAAAATTAACACTAGTATCACCCAAACATGCAAACGACCTTTTTCTATAACAAATGATCCTGTTTGTCCTCAATGACTACGTCCTACCCTGTTTTGTCTGAAACAATCACAATTAAAACAGTGCAAGTAGTGCATATTGGGTTGCTGGATATCATGCGGTCCAGGTACTTATACAGATTGACGCTCACCGATCGGGTTACGGAACATGCTCGTTCCGTTGTGCCTTGGGGCTCAGACTAGAACCCTCGCAGGCAGTCGCACAGCGACAAGTGGTAGATGTAGATAAGATGGTGCAAACAAAGACAAGGAAGACCGAAATGGCCATTTCTGGCTTATTAGACGTCTCCGGCCAGCCTTACCCGACCCCAAGTGTGGATCACTTGATATTCGAACCCAGGATCCTTGGTCATGGAGTTTGACACTCTACCATTGAGCCATGAGCCCGTTTTCCTGTCGGGTTGTGTTCAGGTTCTAGTTAAAATCCCAGGAACGTGGTTTGCTAATATTTTGCCGCTGTATGGCGCTGCTATAAGAGGCTCGACTCATCAGTGAGTCCTTCCAGTTTAAAAATTGTTGCTTTTTGACCTCCCCAGAATTTAAGTAGTATTTCCCCTTCGTAAAAATCTGTTCCGGCGACGCTTTTTCACAGTTGGCCTAATTTGTTTGCCCAAATGCAGGAGGGTGCAAGAGTCCCCTTTCTCACATCTTTGTCACCAGTAAGCAGTGTGTTCATGCGCTGCATTTCAAGGGAGAAAAGTCCGCGTTAAGGGTAGGTGTCATTCTGGAATTTTGCGGGAGGCTGCTCGCAGGACAGGCCCTTATTCCCATGTCCAACTCCAACCACTTATTCCCAACAGTTCGTTTGTCGCTCTCGACGACGCCCACTGTGTGGCAGAGGGGATGCCAACTTGCGAGCGATAGAAGACTTGCGCTGCGTCTACCGCACCCACTCCTCCTCGTCCATCTAGCTCCGGTGCCATGACAGGGTCAAGAATACCAGAGGGGGGATCGGACGCAGGTGGCAGGTGTAGCATGAGCCCGCATCTATGCGTGCCATCACACACACCGCCCCCTGTATGACATTTGTTATGGGCGCGCAGCCCAATTATGGGTACCGGACGCTGGTTTAGCCTCCGTGTTGGTCCAGCACATGCTCCTCGTGGCCGTCGTGGGGGTGATCAATCAGTTATACCCAAATTCAGACACCAAGCGAACCTGTGTTTTAGTCTCCTTACTGCATATTTTGGAGCTTTTGTTTTGCCGGTCGTTTCCGTGAATAGTCGCGGCGACCAGGTTGTCCAAATGTATGTCCATTGAGAAACACTACCCTGCTATTCTTTTAAACTCGCATGCTTGTCCCTGGAGACCTCGTCGGGTGGAAGCCAGCGTCTGTTATTCTGCGTTGCCGACGTTGGTCCGTCTTTTGTATGAATGAGACTAGTTCACCGGACAGTCCTGAATTGTCATTTCTGAAACGATCTGTAACTTTTCATGAGTCAGGAGGCCACTTGTGCCCTTGGAAAACGAGAGCGCTGTGCGTCAGGTAAATTTTTACGTCATCATTGACCGTTAACTCAACCAAATTTCTCTCTCCTGCGGGTATTTTAAACTTGCATTGCGTTCAGTTCATTTCGAGCACTAACCCCCAGAACTCGCTCGACTCCGTCTTCGCGTAAAATCGGACGGTTGGTAAATTCTCGCCATCCAAGCACTCGCTTGTCCTCCTAGTCTTGGTCGAATCGCTCGCTTGGCCGAGCATTTGTGGACTTTCTTTGTGCCTGTCTCAATGCTTGTCCTTAAGATTCGACTTCAGTTCACGGATTCAGTTCGCACAGAGGACAGTTAGTCGGTGGCTGACCTTATGAAGTTTATTAACACGCCAGAGTGTAGCAATGAACTGTTAACATGTGACGACTCAAAAGTGGTGCCCAGTAAGGTACTAATTACTTTCCAGAAATCTCTATGCCTTTATCGGAATTCTGTCCCTGTATAACAGGATTAGCCCACACTGACTGGGGCGTGCTCATGACCAAATAGGCGGAAACATTGTGAATTTGCTTCAAATTTCTTTGTGCGAAATCAGGTCGTCGCCACAAGCGTACCTACCCTTGAAATCACGCTTCCAGACCAAAGTAGATCTTAAGACGTTTCATCACTTTAAAGTACCAGGACCAAATGCAACATGTTCACCGACGCTCGTTTGTTAAATTCCAGGAATGATGTTTACCTCCGCGTCCTAGCCCAAGCGCTAATTCTAGCCCAAATCATAACCCTAAATTCAACTTAGCACGAACACCAACCCTCAACTCCTGGATCAATGGAATTTTATTCGGTTATATGGCCCCCTAGACAGAACATGAGAACAGGAACCGCCTGCAACACGGGTGGTTTTGAGTCAAATTCCAGTGAAATCAGGGTCAAGTTAAGGATTAGGTTTAAGGTTATGTTTAAAGTTAACGGTAACTTAAGCCAGGATCTGATTAGCCTTGAGGTAGGGTCCAGTGTTAACTGACGATTTCACGTTTAGAGTACGGTTAGAGTCAGGACTAGGACAAAGGTTCAGTTTTATATTAGGTTTATTGCCAAGATTAGGATACGGAAATATTTTGCTGGGAAGACGTGGTTATGTAGCCTTACCTGATAGGCACAATGCTGTTGAGGTTGGGGTAGGGGGTTAAGGCTAGTGGATATGGTAAAGGGCTAGAGTAAGGGTTAGGGGTTGCGGTTAGGGGTTGCGGCTGGGGATTATGGTTGGGGGTTAGGTGTTGTGGTTAAAGGTTAAGGCAACTATTCCTCAATCCTCAATCCCAATTCTTTTTCCTTAGAAAAGGGCGGTCAAGCTTGTCCAGGAAAGGCGATCCCCTTTGGCCGTGTGTAACAGCTAACTCTGAGAAACCAAATTAGAGAGGGGCCTTAGCTCTGACCGTTTGAAACTTCTACTTTTCGAACTTATAAGTAGGTACTTAAGCTTCCCCCTCTCCCTCTCGCTCTCACCACCTTCCAGGTTGACGTTATTTTCTGTGATTGGATGGGTCCCATGTTCTTCCATCGGTCCAATCTGCCGGCGGTAATGGGGACGGTGCGAAGCCATTTGCGGCGTCCCGGTGGTCGCATCTACCCCCGTCATGCCGTCCTCTGTATCACTGGCTTGGAGTGCTCACAGCACCTGCTGAACGCCTACTGTCTTGACACCGCCACCACCACCACCGCCGTCTCGCCCCCCCTCCTTCACTCGACACTCTTCGCTCTACGACGCCCGATCTGCCACCTGGCCTACCTGCTCGATGTGAGCGCTGGAGCCAGCGGCCAGAATTGAGGTGGATCTCCTCTCCCTACCATCGGATGGCAGTGCCTTGGCGTCCCTACCTAGCGCACACGACTTTTGCCTCCTCATAGATGGTCCTCGTGACAGTCGCGACTGCCAGCTCGATGCCTTGGTTGCCTACTTTGACTGTCGCATGGACGACGATGAAGAATTCAACGTAGGTCTTTTCGGCAGGCTTTATTACCAACTTTTCTCTCTATCATGTCACTACAGTGGGGGACGCAGGGGATAGGGAGAATGGGGATTATTCAAGGCCGGAAAATATTTGGCTGCGAGTTCCCGAGTTTTGACCGGGGGCTTTGCCTCAGAACTATCGCAGCCATGTCGGTCAGCTGCGTAACCTAATCAACGCTCCCTTCTTGACTCTCAAAGCGAGCCTACTGTCTGGCGCCTTCGGGGGAAGAAACTGGTAGCCTAATAATTGTTGTGCTACTGTCTCATTCAATGTAATGTCCTCTCCCGGACTTGGTAAGATGTGGTTATGTAGCCCCACCTGATGGACAATACTTTTGGGTTTGGGATTAGGACAACTATTTCTCAATCACTCAAAGTACAATCGCGCTTTACCAATAGCTTTACTTTTTCATACCACTCAAAGTACAATCGCGCAATCCCGATAGCTTTTTTGTATACAACTGCTTGACTTCGTCACATGTGCGTTCCCCAGTCCGACCTGTAAAAACCCCTATTACCGCTGGTCCCGTATTGCATGTGGCTGGTTTTTGTTTACTTTAGGTGGGGCAACATAATCACATCTGACCATTATGCCCTTTCTAAAATTATGCACAGGTCCACTTTTATTACTTGGGCGGGCGGTCCCTATTTCCTTGTCCTGTTTAGACGACCAAATAAGTCGGTCCCGCCTATTATTTTGAACCATCTGTGTGAAATTCGGCGACGTCAACGCGATGCGAAACCATGACAACAAGGGAGGAGGGGGGTTAGGTACAGCCAGCGCTCACGCTACCAGTGAACTCCCAAGAAGACGCCTTTATTAAGCTGTCTCGAGAACCTTCCAAGCAGCAAGGGTTCGAATATCATTCTCCACCAACCCTATTTTACGCGGAAAAGGTAAGTATGGGTTGTCACCCCAAACTACCTCAATGTGCATCTATTCAGTCACTTGCTCCTGTGCAGCAGATTATATTGGTCGTACGAGTCGGCGTCTATTCAAACGAATACGAAGACATCCTTCCGCATGGCTCGGAAAAGGCGAGACTAGGAGAATAGACAGCGCCATTCTTGCGCATGCAGTGGACTCAGGACATCGTGTGGACCCTGCTGATGCATTTCGCGTGATTTATACGGTCCCCTCGAGCTATCCTAGCCTAATGGGTCAGCGCCTGTTAGCAAGAGCAGAAGCGACTGCAATCAGGTCACGAAAGTCGACCCTATGCGCTCGCCCAGGCTCCGCGCTTACCGTGGTCAAAGCTTGACTATCCACACGCAACTTTCTGCGCCCTTCCGCTTCCGCCGAGCCTGGGTTTTAAAACTAAGTGTGAAAATCTCGGCGAACTCTGTGGGGTTCGAATCAACGACGAGCAAGAGGAAGGTTTGAGTACAGCAAAAGCTCTAGCCACCTGAGCTACGGGACCCCACCGTGAGAACGGAGTTTCTATTCCCGCGTCCTACCCTATCACTAACCAATTATAGCCAAAAACAGCCTTCATCTGATGGAACAACATTTTCCGGCAAGATCTTATTTCGTATCCGTACCTGTTAGGGGTTAGTGCTAGGAGTAAAGGGTTAGGCGTTGGGGTTAGGGTTAGGCGTTGGGGTTAGGGTTAGGAGTTGGGGTCAGAGGATAGGAATTAAGGTTAGGCATTGGGGTTAGCGGTTAGGGTTAGGAGCCAGGCTTGGGCTTGTCTACTGCAGGCACGGATACGAAATTAAATCCGGCCGTACTCCCTTAATATAATCTGGAAGTTGCTCGACAGTTAGGATGTGTTGGCTTAAACCGCTTTGTTACACGTAGTTGCTAGGCTCTTGCTATGGTCAGGTCTTTTGACGTAACCGTACCTGCAGTAGACAAGCTCCAAACTAACCTCGAACCCCTAACCCCAAACCCCAAACCTGAACCCCTAACTCTGACCCCTTACACCTAACCCTAAGCCCTAACACCTGAACCTAACCCTTAACAAGTACGGCTACGAAATAATATCTTGCTCTTATTTTCTCTGTAATGTATATTCGAGAATATTTTCACAATTCGCTGTGTTCCCCTGGATAGAGTAAGGGGTCTATTGATCTTATCACTTGATTGCAGGGTCCCCAGTCGAATCGCTACTGCACTCAAGCATATTCTCCAGACGAATAGCAAGTACTTTCTCCCGTATGCAGGTTAATATCTTGACTTGAGAGTATGAAAACACGGACATTCTGCGCTAAGATTTTAATCAACAAGTTAGTTCAAGTGATCACGGTGTGCGTCTTAATGGACAAGACGCATCACAGAACTCGCCACTCCGCGAACATATTCTTTTGTCAGCCAACTGCGTCAAGCAGGGCTATAACTAAACAATCCCGTTTTGTTAACTTATCTTCGAAGAACGTTCATCATCTACTCTGCAATGAAAGATCTGACGATTGTGGCGTGCATAGGCACCGTCATGTTAAGACCTTTTTTACAGACTACAGCAAACTAATTAACGCTGTCTGCCTTTTCCATAAACTATGATAAGCATCCGTTTACAAACTCGGTCATGAGTGTTTAACAATTGGTAAGTGTCTATTAATTGTTTTTCTACCATAGACCACCCCATAGCCGACGCGTGATAAATTCGAATGGCGCAGTGCGCAATTTAATGACGCAACAGACGCGATCGGTGCGAACACGTGTTATGGTTGCGGGCCACGCTGTGCGAGCCACGTCGTTATTGATTGTCTTTTGCAGTGTCCGTTAAAGAGGCCGGTTTTCTGAACTCCACAGGTGATCGCATCAAGGCTCGTACTTAGGGCTGACCGTGGGACTACACAGAGGGCGCACACCGCAGTCAACAGCTGTTAGCTCTCGTTTGCAGAATCGTCAATCCGACGTGACGTCATTAATCTTAGAAAAAAACGGCTGCTGTTACCAGTTCCCAACCGCCCATCCAGTACGTGCGGTCCCTGTTTCAGAGTTGTGAAAATTCCCATAGAAAAGATGGCGAGCGAACGTTGCTTTCGATAACTTCTCGTTAGGCCAGTATAGTTATATGGGACGGGGTACAGTGGGTGAAAAAATCGATAACAGTTAGTTTTAAAATACAGGCTGGGCAAGAGCGATGGGCGCAAAAGGTTGTATGTTGTTAGTCAACCTTTGACCACGGTAAGCGCGGAGCCTGAACGAGGTTCTTCTGGGCGCATAGGGTCGGTTTTCGTAACCTGGTGGCGGCCGCTTCTGCTGTTACAAACAGGCACTGGCCCAGTAGCTTAGAGTAGCTCGAGGGGACCTTATACATCACACGAAATGCTTCAGCGGGGTTCACACGATGCCCTGAATCCACTGCATGCACAAGGACGGCATTGTCTATTCTCCTAGTTTCACGTTTTGCCAGCCATGCGGGAAGGTGCTCTCGTATCCTTTTGGAAATGCCCGACTAGTACGACCAATATAACCTGCTTTGCAGGAGCAAGTGAATGAGTAGATGCACAGTGAGGCGATCTGAGTTGGCAGCTTATCCTTGCCTAGAAGAAACTCGTTCAGGCTCCGCGCTTACCGTGGTTAAAGGTTGACTAACCACATACAACTTTCTGCGCCCTTCCGCTCTTGCAAAGCCTGTATTTTAAAAACTAACTTTTGTCGATCCCGGTTTCCTTGACAAAAGCTTGGTAATGCGTTTGAAGTTCCCAAACTTCAACTCTTAAAGTTTGTGTTTTGACTAATTCCAAAGTAGCGTGATCGCATTTGACATGGTGTCAAAATGCAATCAAGGAAAACTTAAGCAGCTGTCGTTTAACTACGGAGGACCACTTGCATGTTCTTTTTTGTTTCGTCCCATTTACCTATCCGAGGCCTTTTTCGCTCAGACACTTTGGGGAATTTACGACAGCTCCACCCTATAAGGCTGGGCTTGTTCCATGAGTAATGGCGCCACTGCTGAAACCAGAGCATGAGGTAGGGTTGAATGCTTATTTGCAGAAATATTCGCTAATTGATCGTCCGTGTTTTCGTTTTTGACAGTTACCAATCTGAGTAGAGACACCAGATGGTTAAGCGTCTTGTTACAGTGCAACTAATTGAGTTTGCCGCAGCCTCAGAAGGTGAAGTTTGCTACCGTTAGAAGGCGCCTTCAAGGTCACTAGTGAGTTGTAGGCAAGAGCTCCTGCTTGCATATCTGCAACATTACTAGTGGCAAAAAAATAATTGTTCAAATACCCACATTGAATATCTGAACGTTAGTGTCAACAAAGTTCCGGAAAGGTTTCAGGCGTTTACAAAAAGCCCTTAGCCTCCTCCTCCTTCTGCCACGGCCACGGATCTGCTCCCTCCTCTTCCCCCTTTCCTCCTCCTCCTCTTCCTCCTCCTCCTCCTCCTCCTCCTCCTCCTCCTCCTCATCCTCATCCTCATCCTCATTCTCATCCTCATCCTCATCCTCATCCCCGTCCTCCTTCTCCGCTGCCCCATCGGCGGCTGTCACGCACATCAACACTACACACATTCCTGACACATCCTCAACCATCAACACCACGATTTCCGCCGACATCCGAGGTGAGGACCAGGATTACACCTGCCCCCACTGCGACCGCACCTTCAAACATTGGCCTGGTCAGTCACTTGCGAATCTATCGCACAAAGACTGACGTACCAGTGCCTGGAGCACCAACATACACCCGCTGCACCCACCTCACTGTACACAATGCCCTCGCACATTCATGCACCGCATGGATCTATTCGGCCACATCAGCCTCCACGAGATCGGAATTTACCGCAGTCCCGACACATTCATCACGCCTAGCCCCACACTCATTTCACTGCCCTGTGTGCCACCACCTCCGCCTCGGCAGTGAGGTCTAACAAAAGCGTTTGATTATTTGTAATTCTCTGCGTGCAATATTGTAAATTTGGTTCGGTCGAGCGCAATCTTTCATGCATGACATCCATAAAACAGCTCCTTCATACAGGGCACTCACTTGGTGCAGACAAGATGTCCAGGGCGGCGCAACAGTCTTGCCTGCATTTTTGACGTCCCGAGAACATACTGATTAGGAAGATGTAGCCTGTCCATCCTTAGTTAAGGCATGCACCTGGTTGCACACCAGGTATTTTGATGTTATGCCGCCGAAAACAAAGGAGCATCTGTTTAGAATGTATGGACGTTGCAGTTTGCCTTGGAGCATTCTATTCGACTTTACGGTTGATAGACATTTCTGCACGCAGTGCGCATGTAAGTAAATATTTCCGCATGCAGCCGGCGGGAGAGAGATCCGGCGGAATGATTAAGGATTTGAGTTAACGACCGAATAGCCCGTGTTTTAACTTCCATCCTACCCAACCTGGAATTGGCGACTGAAAATAACCCCATATGCCCAATTAAGCCACCC